TAGCCAATAACAACATCATTTCAAGTGCATATGGAATGTTCACCAATTTAAACCACATATTGGGTCATAAAATTTCAAGAGATTGAAATCTTACAGAGTATTTTATTTGAATACAATGGAATTAAAAGAGAAATCGAAAAAGGAAGATATCCAGAAAAGCCTCAAATATTGGAAGTTAACACATTTCTAAATAACTCATATATTAAAGGTGAAATCACAAAGGAAATTAGAAAGTATTTTGAACTGATTGATAATGAAAAGACAACACATTAAAATCTTTGGATGCAGCTAAAACAACGCTTAGAAGGAATTATAGCTTTCTTACTTATGTTAGAAAAGAAGAATTTCTTTTAAAAAAATCTCTTTCAACTAAACTAAAAAGAAAAATCAATGAGATAGAAATAAACAATAAAGAAAATCAATGAAACTACAAGCTAAGTCTTTGAAAGTTTCCATAAAATTGACAAATCTCTAGCTAGCTGATGAAGAAAAATGAGACAAAACAAATTTTCAATATCAGGAATAAAGAGAAGATCTCGCACAGGTCCTACAGATATTAAAAAAATAATAAGGGTATATTATGATCAACTTTATGCCAATAAATTGAATAGATACAATGGGCAAATTCCTTGAAAAATATAATTTACCAAAATGAAAGAAAATAGAGAAGCTGAGCTCAGAGGGTGGAAGGACAAAAATTTGACTTCAGGCATTCTGAGGAGGAGGGCCCTGACATCACAGACCTTCAGGGGACAATTACTTGGAGTCAACCAGAAATATACCAATAAATGCAAAGACTGGAGCTCAGCTTTGAGTCAGCTCCATCCCTGATAGCTTAAGGTGATTTCCCACTGCCCATACTGCCTGCCAAAGCAAAATTAAATCCACTCTGAAGGAATATAGCCTCATCCAAGCCTCAAATTATCTCAAGCTTTTTTTTTACACACAGCATCTGGATTACAAAAATTACCAGGCAAACAAAAAGTTAAGAATTTACTCAAAATTAAGAGAAAAAACAGAGGCAATAGAAATGGACCTTAGGAAATCTAGATTTTGGAGCTATCGGCTGTGGACTTTATGATTAAATAACAGGATGCAGAATTTCAGCAGAGACTTGGAAACTAAAGAAGAATAAAATTGAAATTTTAGAGTTAAAAATATAATAATTGAAATTAAGAATTCCTTCCTGGTTTCTACAGCAGGTTAGACACAGCTGAGTAGAAAAAAAATAGTAAACTGGAAGTCAGGTCAAAAGAAAATACACAAACTGAAGCACAGTGAAATAAAATTATGAAGAACAAAAGTGCATAAGAGACATACAGGTCCTGGTGAAAGGCTGTAGAACAGTATTTATAGATGATCTCGATTATGTCAAATGATGCATAGAGACCTAAATCAACAGACCAAGTTATTAAGAATGGTTAAGCCCAAGGGGGAACATCTGAAGTACACTTTAGTCACTTTGTATTTTTCTGTATTCCCCTCTTCAAATCATCCAGGCACACCATAGCATTCCTCAAAGCATATTTTTAGAAAATACTAGTTTCTTTGGCTAATAAATGCTCCAGGAAGCAGGGGTTCTGTGATCCAACAAGTTTGGTAAACATTGTGTTAAACAGAATTAGCATAGGTATTTTCCTTGTTTTTAATTGTTCATTTATCTATTTGCTATCTACCTCAGAGTCTTTACTGTACTATTGTGCGTGAAGAGGAGAGCAGCGTTTTTGACCCAAGTTGGGCAAGAAATCTTTTCATCGCAGAACGTTTCATCAGACTGGAGTTCCAGGTAACGGTCCTTGGAAAATACTACTCCAGAGGCAGAAAAACCCTAAGTTCTTTAACACGGCATGCCAGGCCCTAACTCTCACATCTGCTGTCTCCTGCCTGGGCCTGTGTTCGAGCCATCCTGCCCATTCTCCATAACCTCCTTGTCTCTAGGGTTTCCACATCCTGTCTCCTGTCTCGAATCCCCCTATCCCTGCTCCCTGCCCTTTTCTCCAATTATCAACCTTCTACTCATGCTTCCAACACCCAGCAGCAATACGGCCTCATCTCTGAAGCCTGACCCACCTCCTCGTCACACCCTCAGAGCTTTGGGCATATTTCCAGCAACGCACTTAGTACCCATCAACCTACAAAAACAGAAACCAGTTTAAGAGGCAAAGCGTTTATTTGGGCTCACAGAATTGTAATTCAGGGAGCACAGATGCGGGAAGAAACCAAAAACGTGTTCCATTAGGGAGTAAAAGTCAGGGACTTTTAAAGGCAAAGAAGGGAGGTTATATTACAAAGAATTTCAACTGGAGTTGGAGGCAGACAGCTAGTCTTGGCCAAACATTGATTGACTATTTGATTCTATCCTCAGAATGTCCACAGTCCTCAGTCTTTGTGATCAAGAAGTCCGTTCTCCTGCTGACTTCTCAAACAATTGCTTGTAAGATAATTGCCATTTTGGCCCAGTACAAAGGTTTGGCCCAGTCCAAGGTTCAAGACAGCAAGGTGGTTTCTCTGGAAAGGAAGCTCCAATTCCATTTAAAAATGGCTCCACTAAAGTCAATTTTGACAAAGCTTATAGCATCCTTGCCTTCGTACTTGTCACTTCTACACTAGACTGGGACTTCGATTATTCATGTCTGCATCCACAGGACCTAGCATTAGTCTTGTCATACAGTGGGCATCAATGAACATTTGATGAATGAGTGAACGATGCCAACATCATGTCTAAATTTCTTTTCTCTGAGAGGACATCAAATATTTTGCAACTAATCTTTCTTTCTTTCTGCTATAAAGACAATATACGCAGATTGTAGAAATTTTAGAAAGTAAAGTATGAACAAAAATAAAAATCACTTATCTCACTACTCAGAGATAGCCAGTGTTAACATGTTAATAAAGCCTTCCAGGCTTTTAAAAATGAAGGTGTGTATATTTTGTAAAACTTGGATTAACTTCAGATATAAAATTATATATATATATATATAGTTTTTTAAGTAATTTTATTTGGATTATAATGGTTTGTAACACTGTGTGATTTTGGGTGCACATTATTGTTTATCAATTCCTGATTACACTTCATCGTGCTCACCTCCAGTAGTCTAATTTTTATCCATCACCATATATATGTGCCCTTTTGTCCCTTTTTTTTTTTTATTAATGTTATGATAACCCTTTTGTCCCTTTTGCCCACCCCCTACCCAGCTTCTCTGGTAGCCACTAATCTGTTCTCTTTATCCATGTATTTGTTTATATTTTGATATTTTTCAATCTAACACTATATCATACTTTTCAATGTAATTAAATTTACTTCAAAACATGATACATAGTAATGTTTGCGTAGCATTTCATAAAATTGATATATCATATTTACAGCTGTTTCCAATAATTTTTTGATGAACATATTTGTACATAAAACATGGTCTGCATTTCTGATTTTGTTCTTAGGACAGAGTCTCTGAAGTGAAATTTCTGGATCCAAGTATATAAACATTATAAAGATTCATGATGCCTAATGTTACATATTTTCCATTTGTTGATATTTTTATTAAATGACTTAATATATGTAAAATTCTTAAAACTGCATTGGCACATAAATGTTCAATAAGTAGAGCCACAATTATTAGTATTATTACTCTTCATTTAACAAATATATTGAATGCCTATGATGTGGAAGGCACTGTCCCAGAAAGGTAGAATCAATGATGCTCTTTTCAGCAGTGAAGGTGGGTGTCAGTTTCACTGCATCCTTCCCAGCATTGAGTATCACCATTTTTCTAAACTTTGCTAGTTTGATACGTGAAAATGATATTCCACTGATTCAATTCGTGTTTGTTGATAATAAAAGCAAACATTTTTTCCATATAATTATAGCTGAATAACAACAACATTTAATCCTTTTTATCCCCTCCCCTTTTTGTACCTGCCACCATTTCCACATTTAGCTGGTCCTAATTCATCAACTCCCCCACTCACTGCTTCCATCTTCCTTCTGTGACTTTTCCTGTGGAGTGTTCATTTCTTCACTCATAAAGTATCTGTGGAAGGCCAGTCTGTGGGCAGCATGGGACTAGATCCTAGGGACACAGCAGTCAACTTGACAAGCATGGTCCCTGCTTCATGGAACTTGCTATCTTGCAGAGAATTCAGATGCTGAACCACATGCCTTTATTATTATGAGAGAGAGGTATGGGGTGCTTTGGAAGGCTAACTCACTCTGAGGTCTCAAGAAAAGGCTTCTGTAAGGAGCTGCAGTTTAATCCAAGAACTGATGGATGAAAAGGAGTGAATGGCATAACGGGGTAGGATGGAGGTGGGGTGGGGTTAAGAGTGAGGAGAGAAGGAACAGCATATGTGGAAGCCCTGAAATGGGAAGAATATGGCACATCAAGGCAAAGACAGAAGTCCAGTTTACTTGGAGTGAGAGAAGGAGGAAAAGAGCGGCCTGAGATGAGTCTGGCAAGGTGAGTGGGGCCAGATCTCACCTGGCTTCAAGCCTTCTCAATTTGTCTCCAATCCACATGTCTGAAGCAAGCACACAATGCTGTGTCAGTCACTGCAATGGCGTTTACTTGTCTTCCTCCCTGGGCCAGGAATCCTCTGATCTCACTGCCCTTGCCCTTCTCTCCAGCTAACCTGATACCATGTGTGTGGTTTACAGAGGGTAATGAACCTTCTCAACATTCAACCACAGGGAATACCCCACAGCCTGTTCTGTTTGTCTCAACAATAAAAGATTTTAGTGGCTCAGATATCCCTTCTTTTGTTAACCACTCACACTCTAGAACAAAAGGCCGCTCAAAGATTGATGTGCCTGGAAGACATTTCATGGTGACCAATCTGTCAGCCAAATCATGGGCTGTCCTACAAGGGCCTGTGTAGAGTTGAGATTCGGGCCTGAGGGGGAGTGTGTCCTGGTGCTGCTGGGTCATGTGAATGAGTATATAGGGCATTCACTGTGCATCATGAGTCTTGTTTCTCTGTCCCCCAGCTGTCCTTCCAGGGACTCATTCTGGGGCCCTGCCCCAACCTGTTACCTTGAGGAAAGCCCTCTTCACATCCTTGTTCCGGAGGCTGTAGATGATGGGGTTGAGGAAAGCAGAGATGATGTTGTAGAGCAAGGCCAACTTCTTGTCCTCCTCTGGGGAGACCTCAGCGCCAGGCTTCATGTACATGACCATGGCTGGCACACAGAACATGGTGACCACACTGATGTGGGAGGCACAGGTGGAGAAGGCCTTGAGTCGTCCCTGGGCTGAACGGATCCCCAAGATAGCAATGAAGATGTTGACATAAATGACAAGGATGAGGGCGAGTGGAACTAGGATGACACTAAAGCCAAGAATGAAGTCTGCCTGGTCATTGACTGAGGTGTCTGCACAAGCCAGCTTTAAGACTGCAGGGACTTCACAGAAGAAGTGGTTGATCTTGTTAGGGCCACAGTAGGGCAGGCACATGGCAAAGAGAGTGTAGACAAGAGCAGAGATGACACCCCAGAGACCACAGAAAATGACCATTATCCCACATAACCGTGGGCTCATGATGACCTTGTACCTGAGTGGGTGGCAGATGGCCATGTACCTGTCTATAGACATGACGGCAAAGAGCCAGGACTCGGTGATGCCTAGCACCAAGAAAATGTACATTTGGGCCACACAGCTGGCAAAAGAGATGGTCTTGTTCTCACTGGCCAGATGTACCAACATCTGGGGCACAGTTGTAGTGGTGTAACCCAGATCCAACACGGAAAGAATGCCAATAAAGAAGTACATGGGTGTGTGGAGACGTGAGTCCAGGCAGATGAGGATGGTGATCAAACTGTTACCCAGAATAATCAACAAGTAGGTCATCAGGAAGACTGAGAAGAACAGAGGAGTGGTCCTAGGGCTGAAGGAGAAGCCCAGAAGGATGAATTCTGTCACAGAGGACTTGTTAGGCTCTTGCATTATGTTCTAGTTCTAAATAAAGAAGAAAGGCATGAATTCAGACAGAAGACTAGGTAAGCTATGCACCAGGGTGAAAGTTACTGATGGGGTTGAGATAGTGGTCAGTGTCCTGTTATGATGAAACACTTCAACATGACAGCCAATTTTACCTGCTCTTGTCCACTTCCATCACTCCCAGGAAATTTATGAAGAGAAAAGGGCTTCCATATCTGGTCCAGGGTCTGCCTCTGCCTCACCAATAATTACCCATCTGAGCCTCAGTTTCCTCAGCTGTGAAATGAAAGCATTGGGCTAGGTGATCTCTGCTTCCCCATAGCATCCCCTTCTCCTTTGTAACACAGCCACGTGTTTAGAGATAAATATTAGTGTACAAACTCTATGCAATTTGGCAAAGTACAGTGAGAGAACCTACTTTCCTGTTGAAGATATCAATTTAATTTTCCCACTCTAATTTTACCCTCAGTCTTTTCCAGGCCTGGACAGCTCTTTCACTACCCCCTCCTCCCTCACCAACCCCCCCCCCCCACCCACCCACCATCTCATCTCAGGCTTTGGTGCATTACAACGAACACTGGCTCTCTAATTTACTGAGTGAATGACCTCACCCAAGCCCTTTTTCCCCCCACCCCTTTGAGACCACTTCCTCCAATACAAAATGAGAATAATTGTCTCCTTGTTATAAGCTTGCTGCAAGGATTGAATGATATTTTGGCATGGAACGCATCACATAGAAGGACTAACAAATGGTAGATGTATAATAAATAACTGCATTTCTGGATGGTTCTTCAAACACAGGACTGAGATTCAGGTCCAAGCTACGCAAGCAAACATCCCAAGAAGTACTTCACCGTACTTGATACCCACAATCAACTTTCACTCTTCCACATGCCTACTCTCTGTTGCTTCTCCCCACAAAAGCCAGCATTTAACTCACTCTTTTAGCTTCTTACTGACTCTTAGCTCTTTCTAGACTTAACCTCAGTTTCTTCATGGAGAACAGGAAGAGGACAGTCTCACCGAAGAGATGTCATGTGCTTTGTCAGTACTCAGGGAATGGGAGCAATCTTGATACTGTTGGCATTATTCCTTCTCCTGGCACCAATTTATCTGACCCAACTCCTTGTTCTTCAATCTGCTTGTTCTTCTTCATGGCACCATGAGTGAGCCTTCATGAGAAGCTGTGTCTACCCTCAATACTGGTTTCCTGACTTTGGCCAAAGGACTGCACACACTTGGAGCCTCCCATATGCTAGGCACTTTTCTAAGAACTTCTCAGACATTATCCAATATTTGGCAGATAACCATTTTTATTAAACCCCTACCTTTCACCAAAGGGCCTTTGTAGGTCACATTGTCTCCCCAGGTTGGCCTCAGTTTCTGCATAAAGTATGATGTTGTGTGGGCCAGATGATCTAGAAGGGAAAGAAACTGCATGGCAGCAGAGAAAGTTTAGAGACAGTGGGTTCTGCTTGAATCCTGAATCAATCTTTATTTGCTATGTGACATGGGACTGTTAGCTCACTTCCTGGGCCTCAGTTTCCACACCTATAAAACAGGAATAAAATTACCTACGTTGCAAGCCACAGTCTTCCTGAGAAGAAGAATCCCAAAGATGTGAGAATACTCTACCTTGGGGCCAAGAGTGGGAAAATATGCTGCCATTTTTAACTTTTCATTTTTTTAAACATGGCCAATGAATGAGGTCATTCTTTAATATTAAAGAGTGTTTAACCTGGTTGAACCATGCAGGGAGGCTGAGTGCAACTGGAACCAGCTGTCTATAAAACCAGTGAAGTGTGCCTAGGGATGCTGTTCCACAACCAGGACCTTGGGTCGGAAACTCAGGCTCGCTGAACCCCTGGGTCCCCGTCATCCTTCCCCTGACTCTCCTGAGGGTAAAACATTTTTCTCTTGGGAGAAAATTGCCCGACTCTCAGGGATGAGAACCAGAAACCCCACGTGAGGGAGAACAAAAGGCAACATTGTTATCTACCATGAGGAGCCTGGTCTCTGTGCCTCCCTTTGGGCAAAAAATATAGAATTCAGCTTTGGGGCGATAGCTTACAATACACCTTAACATTCATTCTCTCTTTGAGCCTCATAATGACTCTGTGAGAAGTATAGCATAGGGACCATTATCTCCATCTCACAGAGGGAGAAACTGAGGCTTAGAGAGGAAATATATGGGCGAAACTGAATCTCACTCATTCTTCAGCACCAGGAAGGTTTCCCAGGCACAGGAAAACCATAGCCAACCAGAACTCAACTACGATGAGTCCTCAATTTACTGAAATTATTTCTGTCCTTGATTCTCAGGAGAGAAAGGCAAATCATGAGGGCAAGGAATCTTGTGTTGGGCTTAATTTAACTATATGGATATATGGATATGGATGTGCACACACACACACACACACACACAGAGTAATTGATGGCATCTCTAAGATCAATGCAGTCATACCAGTCAGAAACTTCAGAAAATCCCCTCAGCCCCTTTTGTCATCCCCCTACATCCTATCTGTCCCCAGGTTCCAATACCACACCTCCAAAATGCCTCTCACACCCATCTGTCCCTCTCCAATCCCACCGCCACTGTCCAGTCCAGACACTTAGCATCTCTCTCTCACCTGGGTTTCATCTCAGTCCTGTAGCTGGATCCTTGCCCAGCCCATTCTCTGCACTGGCCTTCAGAGTGCTCTTTCTAAAACAAAAATCTGACTGGCTCACTCCTGAAATCCTTCAATGGCTCCTTTGTCTACAGGTAAAAGTCTTAGACAGTTAGACCAATACCCTGGCTTCACTCCTTAAAGCCAGACTCAGTTTTGGTCACCAGCCTCCAAGGCAGGTTGGTGGGCTCAGACACTTTAGAAAGATCTTTGGCTGTTTCAAGGACTGAAACAGAAAGCATCACAGTGGACAAAATGTCTTTTGAAGAGAGGACACATAGAAAGGATACATATCCCAGGTCAGAGTGGGAGTTCATTGCAGAGTTGAGACTACGATTCAGAACTCCAGGATACCAGCTGGTCAGCTCCTTGGACTCTGTCCTAGTTCAAGGCAAGCCCAGGTTAACTAGGAAGTTCTATAGGTGAGACACATTCCCACTGAGCAGCTAGGCTTCATATGCATAATTTGTTGTTTCCCACTGTAACCTCATCACTTAATACAGAGCCTGGCACATAGTAAGACCCAATAAGTGCTTACTATAGACCAGGAGATCCTGGAAAGACAGAAAAAGAGAGAGAGGAAAGATCACACATTTTTTCTCTCCCTACACTTTTCCATCCTGTTCCTCAGAGCGCTAGAGAAAATGACCTATGTCTGGAGGTCTCAATTCCCCCAGGACAAATCAGGGCACAAGTCTGTTGAAGGAGGAAGATTGGGCGAGTTGGGACCAAGTATTACAAATCTCTCTACCATTTCTCTCAACTCCTGTCCCAGCCAATAAATAATAATAGTGTAAAACACTATTATAAATAATATAATGATCCATTAATATTACACAATTATTCTAATATAATAATTAGCATGATTATTATAATAATTTAATATAACATTATTGTTGTTGTTGTTGCTATAGTAGCTTACTATGTGCCAAACACTATAATGTGATTTACATGCATTATTTTATTTTAGCCCCATAACTGGGGTGAGAGTTGAAAGATTCAACGATAAATCTGGGCACTCTCCAATCAGAACAGACACCCGCCATAGGAAACAGGAAAAGCTATTCCAGAACATCTACAAGTTGAACATGAGACCTGCACACAGCCCCCTGTGAGGTGGGCATTACTGCTATACCTATCTTACAGATAGGGAAAGCAGTGACACAACTTGCCCAGGGTCGCAGCTGTACCAACTCCAGAGCCTGTGCTCACAACCGCCAGCAGACGTTGCCTCTCTGAGCATCTCTGACAAGAAGGTGGTTGGACTGACTTGCCTGAAAACAAGTTCTCTCTCTCCTCCCCTCCTGATTGCTTACTCACTTCGTCTCTCATTTCCTGCCTCTTCCAGGGTGAAAGCTGAAATGAAAGGGGGCAGGAGGAGCAGAAGTTGTGACTAAAAAGTAGGGCGAGGGAAGCTGGGACAGGCAGTTGACCAGGTCAAGCAGATGCAGGGAGGCAACAATGCCAGGCTGCTGATGCTGGCCCTCTCTGAGCCTGCACGTGCCCCTCTGCCCTCTATACTATGGTCTGCTTCTTCCCAGACAGCTGCATAAGGGAAATGGGCATCCTGACCGAGGTCAGAGGCCAGGCAAGTGGTACCAGAGCTGGCCATTTCCCACTCAACCTCCTCTGGCCACATCCGCAGCCCCTGGAATGCTCAGTGCTGTCTGGGATGAGAACAGAGTTGCTGGCTATGGAGCACAAAGGTAACCAGGGTGTAGCCTTCTCTGAGGGCCTGGGATCTACTGGGCCCGGGGATAGACGGGGTGAACCAGGAGAGCCGGGCGGGATCCAGAGATCCTGGGAGACTAAAGACAGGGCTGGTGTAAAGAGGGGTCTGAAGTGGCAGGCCCTCATCTAAGGGCAGCAAGGATGGATTAGGACACAGACCAGAGACGCCTACTGGGCAGAATAGAGACATAGAGGCAGACTAGGAAGGAGCAGTGTACACAGACGGGCAGACAGGGAGAGACAGAGGACCACAGAAGCAGAAAAGAGTAGCACCAGACTGGAAAGAGGTGGAAACTGAGGACAGCATCCACGGGTTGGACAGGAGCCTGGAGCCTGGCCTCAGAGAGCAGGTGCTGGCTCTGAGGGGCCCCTGGTGGGTGTGCTGGGGCAGCTGCCACTTTCACTCATCCTCACCTACCAGAGTACATTTTGCATGGATGCCCAAAATGTGCAGCCTCCTCAAGCACCACAGGCAGATGCTGCCTTCAGAGTAAGACCCTGCCTCAGTCCATGGCACCCCCAACCCTGGTCTTCCCCTCTCAGCCAAAGAGGGTAACCCCAGTCCAACTCAGATCCTGTGTCTGCATGGCCAGCCATGGCCTGACA